CCTGCGGGGAACTCTGCAAAAAACGCATCTTCGCACGGGCAGCCCGTGCGTTGGCCATTTATTTAGAGGTGTGTTCTGACTTTAAGTACTGTCTAATCTCGAAAAACAGTACGTACAATTAAGGATTTCAAATGGTCAAAATGCCGTTTCCAAGTGCTCTTTTGCCTTTTCCTTCTTGCACCCAAGGAGAAAGTCTTTGAATCACGCAGCTGAGGAAAAATCCCTGCGCTGTGAAATTACCGATGTTTCGCTGCATTTAAAATCATAGTTTATTTCCAAACAGAACAGATAGTTTCAGTTTTATTGCCGCATTAATACTTGTATAAATAGCCAGTGTCCAGTTTCGGGCAACAAATGACAGCAGTACGTGACTCGTTGTGTAATTTGGAACCGGTTCAAATTCCAAGGCCACAGATATCTGGACTTCAGTTCATTCCAACCAGAGGACGACTTGGATTTTACAAGGTTTGTTGAAATTGTGCATCTTTCCAAATCCACCCTTTAGTGTATTCCCGTCTTCTCTATTTTTCTTTTCCCATCTTCATCTTTATCAGTTTTTTTCCTACCTATTCCTCACTAGGCCTCAGCACGTCAACCGCGCTATGGTATTATCTTTTTGGCAATGTAGCAGTACTTCAGCCGTGTTGAAATTTGCAATATTTTTTATGTTTGCAATCCCTCCCAGAGGTAGAAATACTCTGAAGTAGTCGTGGTGGTAACGAATTTCAACAGCAATTACACTTTGGAAAGGCAGCTAATGATTCCTCTTTCGAAGCTCTCACAGACGCAATCCAATGTCCTCCTACATGCGCCAGTACCAGTTTACCATCGAAATGAATTAACGCATCGTGAAGAGATTTGTCTCTCAAGTACCAAGCTGACTGCATGCGTCTATCCCATTTTGAAAAAAATTCTATTGTACAAATGTATTTACTGGCAAAGTGATAACATGCGGTCACAAATCATTATGAAAGCGCCCATGTAGAACACTCGATTTACAGAGTATTCATCGTGATGGCGAAAAATATGGTGTAGGAATAAAAACAATTGGACCCCGACGCCCGCCTCTTGCCGATGTATGTTTTGTGAAGGAAAATGACGTACAGTCAACCAGTGCTTCAAGCACTGATCCCAAAAATTCTGCACAAACACAGAAGAGTTCCAGTGACGTCTTACAGCAGGTATTCCTTTAACTTCATCCATTCCCATTATTGGATCTCACGTCCAATTTTTATCTAAGAGCTAAGATTTTTAAAATACTTGGTAGAATTTTTTTCAGTCTTTTGAAAATCTCAGTGCAAACAACTAAGGTAAAGTCTGCACAAAGATGGAGCATGGTAGGCTGTGAGGTACCTGAGAAAATGCTATGTTGCATTTTTTTGCAGCCAGAGTTGCGAAATAAAAAGTAAATGGCAACGCGCACCAGGCTAGCCGGTGCGATCATGCGTTTTGTGCAATTCAGCCCATCGAACC